GCGTGCTCGTTTGTCTGTTGCATTGGTGCGGGCTGCTAGCCTGTGTTTGAGGGGCGGGAGGCAGTCATGGCGTGGTGTTGGGGCGATGGACGGGGCTGGGGTGTTCTCATCGGATGAATGAGCGTGCCCTTTGTGCATAGGCATATGTGGATAGATTCATGGAGGCGATTTGGACAAGCGAGTGCATGGATGCCATCTGTCAATTATCTCTTGACGTCAATCAATCTTTTAGTGGACCAGGGGTTGCTGTCCTGTAGTGTGCGCGACTCATGGCCCGACTTGGTGCCCTCTAGCGAGGTACGCCAGAAAACTGTCATCGAAATCGGCTGTGAGCTCCAGGCAGCTCCCCAATTGACTGTCTCTGCCGACCCATGACTGCAGCCGGTCTATTGCTACAAGGACAGAACGCTGCGTGGAGAGTGGGAGATTCCAGAAGTCCATGGCAAGGACGCTTATGTCTTCCAGAAAGGGCAATGGCCCCTTCAGGACTACAGCAAGGCGGTGCACAGGGAGCGAAAGGCAGCCCTGTACAACTGCACATATGGGAAGCTGCATCGCGTGAAATCTGCCTACCTCCCCGCAGTGACGCGTACGGACAAGGTAAGCGCTTTCGAGGCTCGAGCGTCTTGCCGACTACATTTTGACCTCTCCAGAGTGACACACAATACCCTCCGAGTCGTGATGAAGACCGCTACAGAATCGGGGCTATCGCCGAAGGTGAGCATAGGAAACATGCGCCCAGCCACCTGGATGTACATGCTATTGTGACCCGCAGCCAAGAAGCGAGAAGGCAGTTACGGTGAGCCTGCTTACAACGACGCTTATGAAATCGACGCCGAGAAGACTACCAACCGGACGTACACACCGCTTTTCGGCCGGTACGAGGATGGGATCGTTGTCTTCGAGTACTCCCTCGGCATCTTCGATAGTCAAAGCCAGCAGGCACAGACGATGGCACGGATGAATGGGGTCACGATGGAGGCCCGCGAGGAACAGCCGTGGAAGGTCGAGGCTGTGATGACGTGCACGTAAGGAGACACACACAGAATGACGACCCAAAGTCACCTGTGTCTCTGTGTCTCTGTCATTCGCGGATTGGTGTCTTGTCTGGGCGATGGAAGGCTCCCGATATTGGCGAAATGCGCCACGACCAATGTGGGCTTCAAAAAATACAACATCGGCGCTCCAGGCGTTGTTCTCCCTGTTGAGGTGAGGCCGAGGGCCGAGAAGAAGAGCGAACCAGCCTGGCGTGAATGATCTTGCATGATGTCGTGTGTCGAAGAGGATTAAAGAATTCGACATTTCGGACGAGGAATCGACTTACTACAAGGACGAAGGAAAAACGAGGGAGCTCCGTAAGCCACGAACTGAGTAGTGGCGCGAGAGGAACGCAGGAAAGATCTCTCTCTCCCTCTCCCTCTCCCTACGTGTGTGTGTGTGTGCGTGTATGTGTGTGTCTGTGCGTTTGCCAATGCAGGGCACCGTCCTGCAAAGATTGGTGACAAGGATGAGGCCTGGGCGCTGCACGCTCACAAAGACGCCATCGAGGATGCGCTGGAAGAATCGCCAACGGGAGAGATCCGAGGCACGAGGCCCAGGAACCTCAAGAGAGCGGCACCGGAGGAGTCGTCGAGCGGCATGAGACCGAAGAAGATCAGCCGCTCCGCGCCGGTGGACAGCGGTGAGCCAGGTCTGTACGGATACCCTCCCGCGCCCGGCTACGAGCAGCTGTCCCCGCTCACTACATCGCACCGGCCGATTCCACAGCCCCGCACTCCCAAACACGGCTACAGCCACGAGACATCGGTGTGAGTGAGAGGAACACCCGCTCCCACCTGCCCGCTGACTCAGATTCGTTCTCGTTTCTTGTGTGGGAGCTTTCCTTTGCCGCCTGTTGACGGGCGAGGAAAGACACAGAGACGTGCGTGTGCAATGACGATGAGACATACGCATGGGGCAAACACATAGATGACACATCCCACCGCTGTCGACGGTTGAACGAACGACTGAACGACGAGACACGTACCCAGCATGCCACACATTCGACACACCAACCAGGCCTAATGCAGAAAGGCCACACACGAAACGACAAGCAGCCAGAACTTACATGAGCACATGGCGTGCGCGTCTCTGCAGAAAAAATACAGATCGACTGCCACGACGATGTCTGCCGTCTATGCAGTGCGTGTGTATCAGCAATGGTCGACGGAAGAGTCCCTTAAGAATGCGTTAGAGCTGCGAGGACGTGCAACGTTTCAAGCGTGGCGACGGCTTCAAAATTCATCCAAATCTCGCTTTCACTCCATTTCGGAGCCTGGCACGACTCACCAGTGGCCATCCAGCATGGGATCTGACGAGAATCCTCTGCCTCGTGTGTTGGTCTTCGCGTCGGGCACCAAGGACGGCGGCGGTTCTGGCTTCGAGAAGCTGGTGGAGAACGCACGGGCGGGGAAGCTGCGGGCCGAGATCGTCGGCGTCGTTTCCAACCACAGCGACGGAGGTGTCAAACAGGTCGGTCATCAGATGCGCATCACACGACAATGGACTAAGAAAAACATGCTGATGTGTTATCTGTGTGTGTCATCTGTGTTGATGCAGCGAGCAGATCGGCTTGGCGTCCCCTTCAAGCACTTCCCGCTGCCCAGGAACGGCGAGACCTACGCCGCCCTGCTGCGGGAGTTCAGGGCAGAATGGGTCGCTCTCTCTGGTACGTTTTTCGTACGTCTGTACACAACCGCAGCTGCCTTACGCGTGCGAGGTGTTTGTTTGGCTGGCTGGCTGGCTCTGTGTGTGTGTGTGTATGTGTGCAGGTTGGCTGAAGCTGGTGTGTGTGCGCAACGACGAGAAGGGCACACCAGGAGTCGACCCGGCACGGACGATCAACATACACCCCGGGCTGCTGCCCAGGTAGGTGGGCGGGGATATGGGCGGGTGAAGGGTGGCTGGACGGCATCGGACACACGAACTGAACAAAACACCACAGAACGTCTGTGCGGTGTGTGTAATGTAATGGTGTGTGTCAGGTTTGGCGGCGCCGGAATGTACGGCCATCACGTCCACCAGGCCGTCTACGAGGCGTACCAAAAGGCAGAGGTGTGTGAGTGACTGAACCAGCGAAGAAAACGTGTTCTCATTCTGTGCCCTGCACTCATCTCCACCACCACAGGTGACAGAGGCGGGCTGCACGATGCACTTTGTGACGGAAAAGTACGACGACGGCCCGACCATTTTTCGCACGACCGTCCCCCTCACCCCCGACGACACGCCAGACACCATCGCCGCCAAAGTCAATGCGGTCAGTCAGTGACCACACACATGCACACACACACACGCACACCCAACCGACCACTCTCCCGGCCGTGTGTGTGCGCGTGTGTGCAGCTGGAGCACGAGTACCAGAGCTATGTGACTGACCTGGTGGTCAACGGCGAGATCTCGTGGGACGGCAAATCGCGAGACTCTCTCCGGGTGCCGCCGGGGTACAAGTTCCTCTGAACGGCTGAAGGGGCAGTTTTCGTGTGATGTTTTTCCGTGCGTCGTGTGTTTTTTCTCTCGCCTTTAGTGAAGGCGCGCCGTAGGTGTCGACTCGATCGACGCATGCCATCCCGTCCATGCCTTGAATCGAATGTGTGCGTGTGTTATTGATCCCGTTGCAGTTTGGTGGGGGTTTTCGTCTCTCTTTTTTCGACGATTTCCTGTGCCATCAGCAGCGCGTGTCGTCGAACGATGCGTGCTGCAGGCGGTGGGGGATGCCGTCAAGAGAGAGGGGGAAGGAAGGAACACACATCGATGCTTCGTGCAGTGCAATGGGGGCGTAGCCAGCGAGGACGGTTGACTCGTTGACGGTATATCACAGTCTTGCGGCATGCACTGCTCGGCATGGATGGATGGATGACCCCGTCGCCCCCTCGCCCCCTTGCCCCGCACAGCATCACCACCCCACCCCACGCAGATCAACAAAACTACACAGTCCATTGAACATCTAAGAATGGGACACGCATCAGCAGAGTAGATGGAGCCTGCCTGGCCGCCCATCTCCCTCTCTCTCTCTGTCCACCTGCCTGCCTGCCTGTCTGTCTGTCTGCCTGCATGTCTGGGTCAATGCGCCCCTTCCCCACGCCCAGCCTAGCGCTCACAGACAAAAACTGACCGCCACAGACATCAGACATCACTCACCAAATCAGGCACGACACACACACAGCGCCACACATCGAGGACACTCACACACAGATGAGCACCACTCACGGACATGCACCGCGCTCCCCCACCTCCCGTCCTCTCCTTATCTGTGTCTCACTCACTGGTTGCCCCCATTGCTGAACACCGGCAACGGCACCTTCTGTGCCACCTGCCGAAAGTTGCGGACGCCCGACAGGCTGGACGTCGACGCACTCCGCATCAAACCCATCGCAGGCCTACCATCAGCAGCAGCCTGGCCACCACTTGCTGCTGCCGCCGCTGCAGCCGGCTGCTGCTGCTGCTGCTGTTGTTGTTGCTGAGGATGATGCTGCTGTTGCTGATGGAAGTTTGAGTTCAGGACGAATCCGCCCCCAGCCACCATGGTCAGCCCGGCGGGTGCCCGTGAGGGGCCTGGCTGGGGGCGTGTGTCGTCCGGCGGGGGCCGGTGGGGGGTCATGAAACATGGCATCTGAGGGGGTGGCTGACAAGGGATGGACAGAGAGAGACGTACGACAATGTCTTGCCTGTCTTCTCTCTGCCTGTCTCACTCTCACTCTCTCTCTCTCTCTCTCTCTCACCGCATAGAAGGGGTTTGGGCGATGCGGAGGGTGAACAGGGAAGCATGGTAACCCAGGAGGCCAGCCAGAGCTCCCAGCACCCACACCCACACCAGCGCCAGCACTGGCACCCACACCCGCACCTCCATCGCCATTCCCAGCAGCCTGTGTGTGGTTGTGCGGGGGGTGGTGGATGACCGTCTCCCTGTCGCTCCCCTGGTCAGCTGCAGGGGCCGCAACGGCAGATGGCGGGGGCATGGGCGATAGCTTGGGGTGGCGGCACGGGAAAATCGGGTTGAGGTACGCGTCCATCTGCGGCCCCTTGTCGCGGAGATCCAGGTAGTTGGCACGCAGCCACGTGTGGCCGGGGGTGAAGGGGTCCTCCAAGGCCTGCAGGCACATCAACAGACAGACGGGATGGCATGCCTGTGCACTGACTGGGTGCAGTGAGTGCGTGGTGGTGGTTTCATGTGTGCTAAGGCAAGGCACCCCTCTGGCAGTGGGCCTGTGGCTGGGGGTGAATTGGAGCAGGGCGCAGAGGAACTTCTGTGCGTCGTTTGGGATCCTCACACCCTTGGTGGCTATGACGTCTTTCACGACCCTCTCGGGCCACCCTCGAGTGTTGACAATCTGAAACACCCTCTGAGAGAGAGAGAGAGAGAGAGAGAGAGCGCCACATCTCTCTGTGTCTCTGTCTGTGCCTCTGTCTGTGTCTGTGTCTGTGTCTGTGTCTGTGTGTGCTGACGTCTGGGGACGAGTGGCCGCGAAATGGGTTGTGGTTAAGGAGCAACTCAAACAGCAGTATTCCGATAGAGAATATATCCACCTCCTGGCCATACGGCTGACCCGTCTTGTTCACCACCTCGGGAGCGGCGTACTCGACCGTGCCGGCCATGCCACACCTGATATATACCACCCGAGCCACAAACACACACACACTATGGCAGTCGGTTGTGTCTCAACCCAACTGTCTGGCTAGCTGACCATTCCTCCCCCTGTTTTGCGGCCCATCCGAAGTCTGTGATCTTGACGGTGAGGAAGCAGCCTCCTTGATACCACTCCCACGCACACATGAAGTTGTCCGGCTGACAGACACATGGATCAAGACACACCGACACACACACATGGAGGGAGGGAGGGAGGGAGGGAGGGGACACAGACATCGCATAGGTGTGGGTGGATTCATGGAGGCGGATGAGCTGAGCGCACCTTCAGATCACGATGGACGGCACCCCTGCAGAGGAGAGGAGACACCGGGCAGGCACGCAGTGGGTGGATGCTCTCTGCGTGTGTGTGTGTGTGTGTGTGTCCAGTCTGTCTAATTGCTTACGCTTCATGTATAGCCGCCACTCCCTCCAGCACCTGCCCCACGAACCAGCACGCCAAACTCTGCGGAATGAACGGCGCCTTCAAGCCCGTGCGTGTCCTACACACAGACAACCACAACCACACACATCCATCCATCCATCCACCCACTAGAGCACTTCCGTGGGTGTGCAGGGTGTGCCTACTTTGCCAGGAATGCGCCAAGGTTTTGGGGCAGGCATAGTTCCTGGACCATAAAGTAGTAGCTGTCCGGACGGCCGTGTTGGTGGCGGTCCTCGTGGGTTGCGATATACTCATACAGCCGCACCACGTTCCGGTGGTGAATCACGCTCTGCAACTCTACCTCGCCATACAACTGCCCACGCAGACACACACACACACAAGAAGACACGCAATGCACACACACCGTGGCCTACTGCTCTCTCCCTCACTCCCTCCCTCCCTCCCTGTCGCCTTTTGGCCGACCTGGTTGAGCATGGACCGCTCGTGCAGCGGCTTGGTGGCGACCATCTTGATGGCCACCCTCGCCCCGTCGCTCTTGCGCGTGGCCTCCGACACCAGTGCATACGACCCCCACCCCAGCACCTTGGGGACGCACGTCAGACCGGGGGCCGGCGGGGCGTCACACGTGCTGCCCTCGCTGAACACATCGGCTGATGGGGTCTTCCAGTAACACTGAAGAGACAGACAGGGAGAGAGAGGTAAAGACATAATGGTGCTCTTGTGTGCTGTGGTGGAAGGGAGGAGGGGCCAAGGGGTGGCGGCGTTCTTACGTCGATTGCATATCGGTCAGTGAGGCTTTGTGGGAGCCTGCGAGGCAGCCGGGTGAGGCTGGTGAGCGTGGCGCCGTTAGCGTAACACGTCCCCCACATCTTCTCCTCGATCTCCGCACTCTGCACGAACCCCTCCCCCTCGCCCTCCCCCTCCCCCTCACCCATGTACTCCGCCCACCCCCCTCCCTCTATATAGCCGTGATGACCACCGCCATGCGCATTCCAGCAGCCCCCCGTCTCCCCTACACATATGGGAAATGCCGCCGCCTCATGGTCAATGTGATCGCCACTGCCGTCAGTGTAAAAGCCGCCAGGGTCCCTGCCGTCTCCCTCCGGCAGCATGAAGGGAGGGACGGGCAGAGGGGGCGGAGGGGGCGGCTGGCCGGGCGGCACTCCCGCACAGTGCCAATCAGGCGGCCAGTCCGCAGCTGGAGCATACATCAGCTGCTGGGAATGTGAGCCGATGCGATTGCGATCACTCTCTAGCACATCATCAGGATGCGGCAAGGGGGGGGGCGGCGGCGGCGGCGGCGGCCGATGGGGATACCCACAGTGGCCGTGGCCACCATACACAGGGCCGCCCAAGAGAGGGGCAGGCATCTGGCGGCCATGAGACAGGGACATCTGTTCAGGTACTGGTGCGCGTGGCGGGGGCGGCGGGGGACGTTGTTGGCGGTGTTGCTGATGCAGATTGGTCGGCAGCTTCGGCTTGGGCAGCAGTGGAAGGTTCCTGCTCGATTGCATAGGCGTGTTCGGTTCAGTTGCTGGTGGGGGAGGGGGAGGGGGCGTTGTGTCTGGTGGGGGTGGCGGCGGCTGATGCGGCTGATGGCACAGCTGCTGCTGGCGTGACCCCTTATAAATCGCAGGGCCGTTGCATCCCCCATTAGCAACAGCAGCAGGAAACGCGCCAAGAATCCCTTTCGACGTAGAGGCGGACGCGGCCGCGTTCTCGTGAGGCTGAGCCATTCCCCACCGATTGTACCCATGATAGCGGGGGTGGGGCTGAGCATGATGAGCATGATGCTGAGCATGATGCTGAGGCTGTGGGCATGGGTTTGGATGGTGCAGCACGGCCCCTCCGGCTCCCTGCTGCAAGGCAATGTCCATCTGGTGCCGAATGGGCCTCAGCTTGCTCACGTTGGGGGGCCCTCTGGGCGGCTGCAGGATGTGAGGCCGAGGAGAGGGGGAGAGAATGCCGTGGCCTCGTTCCTGACACCGTAACGCAGAGGAAGGCCTTCCGCCGGGGCTTCTGGCTCGGGCAGGGGACAATGCCCGGTCATGGGTGTCGGCTTGGTGGGAGTTAGGCCCAGGGTAAGGATGTAGTGGCCTCATTCTTGCCTGCGTTCATCTGCAAGCTCAGTTTGGGGGTCACCAGTCGATTGGGGCCAGGGCCTGGGTTTCGAGTGAATACGCGGCTGTTTTGGCACTCTGTAATGAACGCGCAACGAATCGGCCACCGGTGACACCTGTGCCACCGATGGGTGCGATGAGGCTGGCCTTTCTTCCCCTGGTGGGCGTGGCGAATGTGCGTTGCCAGGTCCAGGGCGAGAACCCGCCCAACGACACATGGGCCTACATGGCCGGGGTGGTGCGCTCGTCACTCTTCCAGGTGAACGAACGCAGAATGGGACAGACAGAGCCACAAATTGCGCAGCCGCATGCCATTGGCTGGCTGTCTGTCTTGTGTTGCTGGCAGGGCCTTGCTATTGTGGGCACGTTTGGGATTATCGTCATGCTCGCAAGGCGTACGTAGCAGTTGGGAGACGGGCAGGAACCGGCATTGTGTGTCGAAAGATGGATGGATGGATGTGTGTGTATGTGTGTGTGTGTGTGCAGTGCGTCCGAAGGAGAGGAACCGCTACGCCGTCGCTGGCAATGCGGCTAAGGCGGCAAACAAAAGCCAGAGGGGGTAGCCGATGGGTACACGGCCGTGTCAGATCCGTGCTGTGTAGAAAACAGAATACACACAGATGACTTACTTCATTGTGTGTAAGAAAGAGTATGATGCGATGGACGCCTCAATCCCACCACCCCCATGGACACGCAATTCACGGTTGATTGGTTGGGCCAGCCATACAGACGCACAGGGCACACGAGTGCATGTCCCTCACGACGCACCAGGCCATGGATTGGACGCACACACAGGCACATGGGCTACCGTGATCCAGACAGACAGACAGACAGCCAGACAGACGGATAGACAGGGCCCACCGGCCGTTCGCCACGAACGGGGTGTGTGTGTCTCCGTCATCGAATTCAGTCATGGCTCCTCCCTCCCTCCCACCCTCCCTCCCTCCCTCCCTCTAGACTAACACCACACACACGCAGGTCTGTCTGTCTGTGTGCCTGCCGATGGCTGTCTGTGTCCATGGCTATCTGTGTCCATCCCCCTCTTGACCCCCTTACCCAGCCCTATAGTAGTGTTTCCTCCCGCCGTCCCTCCCTGTATGCTATCGACAGTTGACGCACATGCCATGCAGGCTGCGCCGTAGTGGTAAGGCAGTGAGTATTATAGGGTATTATATAATCTCAATCAGTCAGTCAACAAGAAGATGGCAAATGGGTCAAATCCCTCCCCTCCCTCCCTCCCTCCCTCCCTCACCCTCTCCCTCTCGATGTGTGTGTACACGTGTGTGTGTGTGTGTGTGTGTGTGGTCTCGAGAGGAGTCAGTCGATCGACCAGCTAACCTTTGCATATGCGCCGTGTGGACGGCTCTGTCTGTGTGTGTGTGTGTGTGTGTATGATGCATGCTGCGTACTGGGAAGGGAAAACGATGGCAGCAGGCAGACAACATGCAGGCTACAAGTGTGGAGGGGTGGTGGGTAGGTAGATGGAAAGGATCTGTCTTCCATACCCTCCCTCCCCCACCCCCCCTCCCCTGCTCCTCTCTGATACCCAACCACCCACACTGTGCCTGCCGGAGCAGATAAGGGCAGTCGGCAGTGAGTAAGAAGCAATGGGTTCATGAGGCAAATCGTCGAAAAATCACTTAGTAGGAGCCGCAAACATTTTCCACATGCATATATTCCATCCATCCATCCTTCCACAAAGGCATCGCTCTCTCTCTGCTGCTTGCTAGCAAAAGTGCTCGGCTGCCGATACCGACAGTATACCATGATAGGACGGACGTGCAGCCGATACGTCAAGGACATCACTGGTAAGAGCAAAGAGGTCAGCTTGAGGCCCTCTTTGCTCTGCCCCCTGACGCACCCGACGCATCGAGCATCAACACGCCCTACCGACCTGCCGTTTGTGAGCAGCACAGCCATTTGAGTGCAAGGCTCATGTCTGTCTGTCTGTGTTGCCACCCCGTCCGCCTACCCTCCCTCTCTGTGATTGTGGAGCCCTCGTATATGTGATGGGTGGCACACGATCGCGTGGACAGAAGTAAAGTGATTCGCCTCGGTCACGCCATCCAGACGCACAGCCCAGCCCACCCATCATCACGAAAGCCCCAATGTTCGTAGAGAAAAAGCGGTAGCAGCCAACACAACATGTGGATCTCTGTCTGTCTGGCTGTCTGTCTGTCTGTCTGGGTGAGATGTCGCCACACACCATCCCATCGGCCGTCATCAGCAGGCACACGATACAGGTAGAATGAACGGCCAAAGACGTGCAGGAACGCAGGAAGGCAAGGCATGCACACACACACAAGACAAACCTAGCTCGGCACACACGCCCACTCACGCAGAGAAACCCTATACACAGCAACCCTCCCCTCCCCGGCTCCCTCCCTCCCTCTATCGTACCAACAGCCGTCAACCGTCTCCCTCTACTCATCCCTTCGCCACCCCAGCGAGCTTCCGCAGCACCTGCAGGTCGCTGCGGATCTCCTCCCCCGTCAGCACCACATTCGCCGGCGGGCAGACATAAAACCGCGTTGGTCTCTTGCCGGCAGAGCACTTGCCACGCCTCGCCCCACCACCACGGCCACGGCCACCGCCACCGCCCGGACGGTCAGGCAGGCTCACTCTCACGAACTCCTCGCCCTCCACCGTCACCATGCGACGCGTGACGCGACGTCTCAGCGGGCCGGCGGACGGGGGCGGGGAAGGGGCGCTGTGTGTCTGTTTGGCGGGTTTGGTGGGTTGACCTGGTTTGGCGGGCTGCTTCTTGGCTTTGGGCGGTGGTCGGAGCACGCGATTGTGTGTGATGTCACGGGCGTGGCTGTGGGGCCGCCGTGGGCGCCACTCGCCGTCGGCATCTCCCCCCTCATTGCCGCCGCCGGCATTGGCCATCTCGAGCTTGCGGCGTCGCTTGAGCACGTCCAGGGGCACCTCGTCGCTGGTGTCGCCCTCCTCGCCACACACGGCTACAGCACCGCCTCCGCCACGACCGTTGCGCTCATATTTCGCCTCCGCCCTCCCGTCTGGCTGCTGCTGCTGCTGCTGGTGCTGATGGTGTGTGCGCTTCTTGCGGTCTCTGCGGTTGGGTTTGCTGTTGCTGTTGGATGGCTGCTGTTGCTGGTGCTGCTGTGGTTCTGACGGGGGGAGGGAGGGCAGCTCGTGGTCGAGATTGTATGGCGCACAGGGCATGTTGCAGAGGGCGTGGCGGGTGGCGGATGGTGACGGAGAGGGAGAGCGGTCCTCAACCTCCTCCCGCTCAACGACAACACTGATCGACACACACGCAGAGAGACGAGGAGAGAGAGAAATGGCCACTCTGATCTGATCCCTCCGTCGTGGGGGCGGGCGTTAGCTCTCTTTTCAACTCACTCAGAAACTGTATGCGATGGTGACGACTTCAGGACAAACCCAATCACCCCCCCGGCCCCTCCCAAGCCCACAGGCTGCTGCACCATCACATTGCTGCTGCCGCCATCGGTCTGCATGTCCGCCACACGCGCCACCCTGGCCGCACCTAACATCGGCACCCGCCCTCTACCGCTCTGCGCAATCAGCCCCGCCAGGCTCTGCTTGGGCTCCTCCAGGGAGCGCTTGACGCTCTGCATCCCTTCTTCGAAGATCTGGATGGTCGCCATGAGCGCGCTGGCGCTGGGTGTCGTTTCGGTGCTGGTGCTGTGGGTGTAGGCAAAGGCCTTTGCGTGTGTGTGGTGCTGGTGCTGGTGCTGGTGCTGAGTCGTGTCGATGGTCGTGGCCTGATCCATGGACGACTTGGGTGAGGGCTCTTTGGCGTCGAGGATGCTGTCGCTGAAGTCGTGGCTGTTGGTCGGGGGGAGGATGGGCAGGTTGAGGGGGAGGGGG